GGCTACTACTACCGCCATTATTTACTGACCCTCCACTCTTTCTTTCAAAAAGAAACAATCAAAGCCTCTGATCCAAGTAACTAGCATAAGTCCTGACAAAAGCCGAGTGATCCCAGGAACTCGAATGCGCCTCATCGCGGAAATCAGAAAAGTTAAGCATCCTCGTACCCCGTCTGGTGGCATAGAGGATCTCCTCCTGTAACAGAGGATCTCCCTCGTTGAGGAGGCGGTGAACGAGCATGAGGGCCTTGAGGGCGACGACCCAGTCGCGGGTCTTTCCCAATCGCCGTGAGACTGCGGTGACACAGGCATGGACGTAGCCGCGCGACATGGAGGTGAGGTTGAGGATCTCGCGGATGTACTTCTCACTCGCTGGATCGTCGTCGTGGCTCGTCGCTTTCACGATCGCGACTTCCAGATCCGGAGCCATGTTGCTCGCCACTTTGGCGATTCCGATGCTCGTCTGATCCTTCACCGCTCCGATCGCTTTCCGCATGCTCGGCGCCATCTCCGATGCACCACTCTTTCGCCGATCAAAGCTTCAAAAGAATAAACAAAAACAGTTACAGAAATTCGAGTTTCACTTAAAATCCCAAATCGAGAAAACGAAGTTCCGTAGAAGATTCGAGTTCAAACAATAACGATCCAAAGCGGAAACAAATTCGAAATCGTTTAATCTTCACTTTCGAGAACTATTTTTAGAAATTACCGTTGAGAGAATCTGCGGGGTATGCTTCGCTAGATCTATGGTGAATTGCACGAGGCGTCGAAACGGCGGAAACTCCTTTTCTCCGTCGACAGATCGGTCGAATTTATCCTTCCCCGGCGAAAGCGACAGAGACGGAAACTGAGATGGATGCCGAAGAAGAAGAAGGTTTTGGAACTGGACTTTTTTACGGCGAAGATTCGCCGAAGGGGGCAGAAGAAGGCAGCTGAAGAGAGAAGGAAAAAAAGGCAGCTGGAGTCCGGTGGTGACGTGGAGGAATCTGAACCGTTGATCTTTCGTAAAAAAATGGAGATGCTATAAACTCTGTGACTGGAAGTATCCGGAGCTTGTGGTTGTCTGAATGTATCGGTGGATATATTTATGTTCTTTTTATTTTTCTCTACATTATTTTGGTTTGCAATTTGCTTTTAAAGTAAAAATATTTTCTCTTGTTTACTTTTTAAAAAGATGGGTGGGAAAGTTTTTTATATATTTTAATTCATGTGGACAATAATTAGTGGAGACATTGAGAAAATCATGTTCAATGAGTCAACTTCTAAAGTAATAAACCAAACATTTTTCAAATTTATTATGACCAATAATGTAGAAATACGTGATGGCTCGCTTCTAGATTTTTTTTTTGTTTTATTCATTAATTAAACACATGTTTATTCACTTTCTTTCCCTCCATCTTCTCACTTATGGATATCGCATTAAAAAAAAGGTTGTAGATAAGTTTTAGGATAAAATCTATAAAAAAATTTAAATTTGTAAAATGGTAAAAAATAAATTGCTAAACATTTTGTTAGACAATTTTATTTTCAAAATTATAAAATATGATACTTTAATTTTTTAAACTTGTAAAATATGTTATTATAATTCCTAAACTTGTTAATTGGTATCATAAAAACATTGACGATGTTGATTCAAAAATTAGTTTAGAAATTATAATAATATATTTTATAAGGTTAGGAATTATAATGATTCATTTTGTAATTTTGGGAATAAATTTGTTTGACGAAAAATTTATCAATTTATTTTCTACCATTTTATAAATTCAAGAATTTTTAGGGGTTTTACCCTAAGTTTTAATGTTATGAATATTTATGAACACACGCATTGTCTCTGCGTATATGTACATCACTTTCTCTAAATGTTAAGTTGCTTCGTAAAATCTTGTCCGATTCAGATCGACTCTTGTAGGATAGCGCATCGCCGTCTTCGTGCTTCAATGCTTGAAAAGTGACTATAATACCAATTAAATGAATCCTAAAAGAATTTTCGAGTGAAATAAGGAGATGGATCTGATATGGGTCAAACTGGATTTGAATTACGAGAGAACAACAATCTAAAGCAAGTCCACTAACTATGCATTTAGTTCATATAATCAGAATCCAAAAAATAACATTGTGTATAGATAAAGGTACATATCTATGTGTTAACAACATTCATGACCATTAAACTGGTGGAGGATGTAAGTGCTGAGGAGATTAAGCGAGTTTTTCACTCCATACCGGAGAACAAATACCCCGACCATATGGATATACTAAAGAATTTTTTGTATCAACTTGAAAAACGATTGAAAAGGACCTTATTCATGTTGTATAAGAGTTTTTCGGACCAAAGAAGCTATTGAGGGGGCTAAATACTACTGCTATCACTCATTTCGAAGAAGAAAGGGAAAGTTAAACACATAGATTTTCGGGTAATCAGTTGTTATAATTTTGTGCACAAGGTGATTTAAAAGCTTATAGCCAACCGTCTAAAACCAGTACTCTAATCTTGTATCTCCTGAAATCAGGTAGCTTTTTCAGAAAGGAAGGTTGCTTATGGAATATGTCATGGTGGCTATGGAGCTAGTATGTCACTACCACATAAGTACTTATGGAAAAAATGTCCTGCTTAAGGTGGATATCGGTTTTATTGGTGTCGACGAATCAGGACAGCTAGGCATCCTTCGGAATGCTAAATTACGGATGCGACAAATAGACAAAGATCGATCGCAACAAAGGTAACGGAGTTGGTACACTACTAGTCCCATTGTTATATCATCTACACAGTTTCAGACACTATAACCAAGGAGATAAAAATATATACAGCAAAACAAATATAGAACAATTTCAACCAAATCAACAGATGATATAGACAAAACACATTGAAAAGGCTTCCACTAAGATGATAACCCTCGGTATCCTCTTACGGGTACTAGAATCCCAATTCCAAACATAATCCTTAAGTCTGCTTTGATATTACCCCTTAAGATTATGCTTAGACAATAATTGTTAATCACATCCAATGTGATTACTAGCAATTATTAGATGTTAGTATCACTTACTATTGAATGTTGTATCCCATCTTGTACCATTGAGTACAAAACCCTTTTGATGTCTCAATTAAGTCTAGAGGATATTCGTGTTCATAGAACGAAATAACTTGGTATACCTCGTATAGGCGAAACCTATACCAAATTACATCTTCTATCCCGTATGGATGTCAATCGGGCCGATCCTGTCCGACCTGGCCCGAGTCCGCACTCGACCTGAAGGTCTATGTAATTAAGCCCGAAGCCCAGCCCTATGTATTCCGCACTTGGGTCGGGTCAGATCGGACCAGCCCGCTTAATTCCCTTTGTAAATGTGGTTTTTCTTTGTTTTTTTTTAATTCCAGGCTTTTTGGTCGATCCGACTCGAACCCGAAATCCGATTTGAGCCCGGTGCACCTCATTTTGGTGACACCTACACTCGGATGATCGATGCATTGATGAGTACCTTACCAATGGGTAGTACTTATTCTTATTTTTTTTAGAGGGATTTTCACATGTAACAATTACATCTCATGAACAATTTTTGTCCAATCCACCACATTACCGTTATGTAACAATTACATATGATGTATCATAAACAATAATTATTTTGTATACATCTACCAACAACCCTAGCAATAGGATTTAAGGGTTCGGGACAGAAGCCTCGACGGGGTCTAAGGGCAATGTCCCAACGGTGGTTCTCAGACGATTTTTGAAAAGTCATCGCATGGGAAGCCACAGACTTTGAAGCAAATATTGACCTTGTCGAGGTCGCTATCGGTCATAATCTATGGTCGATATACAAATATCGACTTCCCCTTTAAGTCATTATTAACACGAAGGAGAGCTCGATATCGACCTAATATAGAGCTCGATATCGAGAACGGTTTTGGGTCGAGATCTCGGATACAGATAGATATCACCTATATCGATCAACTCCTTAGATTGATATTTCGAATATCGATCGATATACCATATATCAACCAATACCCCAGATCGACATCTGAATATCGATCAATATCCGACAGATCTGAAATTCAGAAATCACGATCTCTTCTTTCCAATTTCCAACTCCACGAATGATCCAATCGATTCATGAGCTTTTGTTTTTTTATTCTAATCATATCAACACTTTGATACAACCAAATCAAACGGAACAATTGATAATTTTTACAAAAACAGCAATTCGTTTGACAAATTCAAACAAAACAAGCAAGCACATATTTGATCCATCTTGTTCAAAACCGATTTTAAATTCATATCAAACACGAAACAGGTAAATTAAATGTCTACCGGACTTTGGATTTTGGAGATCCCTAAACATGCGTTCACAACTGTTTTTAGGGTTCTAAATCTGAGTTTCACATAACGGAATTATATTAAATAAAACCCAATCAATATATATTTTATATAATGATAAATGTACCGATATACCAACCTGTTTCGATCTAGAGATCTGTCACAAACACTGAAATCAACGTTCTCTACAGCTAGTTCATACTCACGGGTTGAAACATCGGCTAGAACGCAATCTGAAGGATTTGAACGGAAACCGAGGTACCTAGGGAGGAGTACGACAACAACAAGAGAGAGAATGAGAGAAAAAATTTTTTTCTTTTGTCTCTTACTAAATAAAATTATGTCTAACACATAAATTTAAGTTAATTAGGATTTCATTAAACTCAACGGGCCTACCTATTGGGTATTCATTTAACCATAAAGAGAAACAAATCTCATTACGTCATAAGTCATTATATGGGTCTATTGGGTTCCCTAAACACATCCAATGGATTTCTAATCAGTTTCACAAACTGATCATGTCCAGAGCATCATATGCATCACTTGAACGGTGGGACTGTCAATTGGAAGAGTTATAAATAACCTGTGACATTCGTAACTCGTATACAGTATACAGGCTATGTCATATGGCCAAATACAATAATAAAGTAATACGAAAGCGAAAACACAAAGTCCAAAAATATTTTTTCAAACCAATAGAGTAAAGCAACGGAAATACATCACGCGATCAACGTCACAAAACAACACATGTTTGAATGGTAAATAATACAACCGTACAAAAGGCGGGAATACAAGTCTCGTAGTCCAAAATACAAAAGTCCGTACATGATGTTGCCTCTCTCAAGTCGTCGTCGCTTGAATGCGCTACACGTGTACTTCTCGTGATCTGAAAAAAAAAAAGATAAAACCACGAGGGCTAAGCACAACTGCTTAGTGAGTAGCCCAGGTTGGATCCGGTGGTATTGTTCTCAGCAAGAACGGTGCGAAAACGATGATTCACAATAAACACAAAACAATAATAATCATGCATAGTCACATCGCATCAATCATATATATGTCAAACACAATCATACCCATATGACGTCGCATCACAAGGTTAGCCATAAACCCTAGTCAAGTCGACATGACCAGGAGCGCCTCACTCGCTCGTCACTCTCGTGACATTGGCCGTCACGTCACATGACTATATGCGCCTCACGCACGTGTCACATCTCATGACTACCGATGTCAAGTCCACGACACAATAGAATACAATCACACCCGTATGGAGTCTACCATAGGGTCAGTCATCAATCCTAGTCAAGTCAGCATGACTCGGAGTGCCTCCATACTTGTCAAATCCATGACGTTGGTCGTCCTGTCGCACACGACTATATCACAATCACAATCATGCTTCACTCGCATCGCGCGAATGAGCTACAAACATGGCAATCATCGTACATGTATACCCCTGGTACAATCACGTGCATCACGGTATTTGGCCCCTACCGATCTACCATTTAACGTCGTTCAAAGCTACCCAAATAAATTACGCAACGAGTCACTCTCATCGTTGGGTTGCATATCTCACCACGCGTAAGAATCAAAGATTCACCGAAAAGTGGGTCCTGAGCTCAAGACTGGTCAGACTACTGTCTAGTTTGTTCGGTCTAGGTCATTGTTGGCCTCTGGCTTGTTCGTTTGGTCTTTATCTCGGTTTGTTTCACCTCAGTCCGTTCGGACTGGGAGTCAGTCCGTCCAGACTGGAACTGCCGGTCCGTCCGAACCGGACCGTCAGTTCGTCCGAACTAGGATCTTCAGTCCGTTCGGACTGGGAGTCAGTCCATCTAGATTGGAACTGCCAGTCCGTCCGAACCGGACCGTCAGTTCGTCCGAACTAGGGTCTTCAGTCTGTTCGGACTGGGACCTCAGTTCGTTCGGACTGGGGTTTCTACACTGTCTTCTTCACGAAAACAACTTTCTAGACTGACTTCGTTTGGTCATTTTTCACTCATTTCTCCACCAAATTACGTACCGTTTATTGTTAAATGTTCATTGAAATATCATTTATCCAATCAAAGCAACAACCATCGAAATAACACGATAACACGATGAAAATGGGCTCACACAAATCCAACTCAAGCCACTCACCTTTTTTTCAGTTCTATTTCGATTTGGCTGAGTGTGTAGGCGGTTCTCCAAGCTACTCGACATCGAAATCATTAGGGATGTCACTCTTGCTCTCCCCGAACTCCCCTCTTCTTCTTTCTTCCTCCTTCTCTCCCTCTCTCTCTCTCTTTCTCCTCTCTTTCTATTTTTCTGAGTTTTTCAGCAATAAAGGCTGAATCTCAGATTTGGGAGATGTTTATCTCATGTGAGAGAGAGCCAGGGGCTCAAGCTCAGGCCTAAAGTCGATCCTGCAATGCCCTGACACGATTGGGCGGCAAGTTGACATCGGTGGGGTCCAGTGTGCAGAGAACATGCGACTAGAAGGGTGCAAGTTGGCCAGAAAGGCAGCAAGTTGTGCAAGTTGCGTTGGGTCATCAGTTCGTTCGGACTACCTGCCAGAACGGATGGACTGGGCCCAAGTTAGCCCATTTTCTCGCATGCTCATGGTCCGTTCGGTGTATCTCTGGTCCGTTCAGTCCGCATTTCCTAATCCGTTCGGACTGCATTAATTTTCAGTTCGTTCGGACTGTGTGTTAGTTCGACCGGATCCGTTTCATATTTTGTTCCTTCTTCGTTTTTCCCCGTTTTTCTGCACGTGGCGGTTCTCGTGGCTTTATCCAACACTACACCATCCCTTTTTGATGATTTCGCGATATATTTATTTAATTATTTATTTCCCAAAAATGATTAAATATTTGGATCGGGTTTCACGGTATTACATAACCGACCATCACATATTCGACTATAGAAGTCGAATACATAACCGTATATAATGCAACTAAGGAAGATATTTAGATCGAGAAATTCATGGGAAACCTAGGAGTCGTCCTGTCATTGTGAATCCTATTGAGTTGTACTGTGACAACAACGATGTAATTATACAAATAAAGGAACCTCGACCACATTAAAGATCCAAACACATACTCGGGCATTTTTTATTTGATCAGAGAAATCATCGACACAGAAGATGTGAAGATAAGCAGAGTGTCGACGGATGATAACATTGCCGACCCATTGACGAAGCATCTCCCTTTCGTCAAAACATGATGGTCATGTTAGGAGTATGAAAATTAGATGCCTGTAGCGTTGATCGTAGAGCATAATGGGAGATTGTTGGTTATGATGCTTTAGGATAATCCATAATATGACATTTGATCTGTGTATTGATTCACGAAATTATGAATGCATTATTTTTCTCATTATATGATTTGCATGAATGTTATATATCGGTATCCTTGAGTCATTATAGGATGATTTTAAACTCTCTGTTTAGTTGTTATCGTGGAAACTATGATGAATTAAAACTAATATTATGTGTGATTGATAATTATAGAGATGATCATAAGCATTGGATGTGAATCATAATCATGGGTACTCGTTGTGAACAAGTGACTAGATGACCCGTATGAGGTTGTCACATAGACATGAGGTAGGACTTGGTTCTCATGTAGTGGTTCGTTCTTGGATCCTCATACCTGAGATGCCTAGAATATCTGATATGAAGAGTAGCGTGTTTTGACTGCGTCAAACGTCATCTTTAATCAGATGATCATAACGATATTGATCAAATACGTTTATGAGTCATGTGGAGATAATAGACAATCAAGACAAGATTTATCACCTCTTTAACAGGAGAGATGTCCCTGGACCCCTCCTGAAAACTGAACTGTGAAAAAACATGGTCATGCTATAGATGAAATGTTCATATATCTTGTTAGTCGATTTGCCAAACGAGAAAGCGGTTGAACTTGAAGGGTGGTTGGTTCAATACTTTTAATTAACATATGATATCATAAGACAAAGAATCAGAATTTGAGTTGTTATTGCCTTCGTTAGATCGCCTCTAGCTCAATTCAACGTGGATGATCATGGTGCCTTGCTAGAGGTTAACCATGACTTATTATTCGGGAATGGTTTTCAAAGCCATTACCACTACGAATGGACTCAGTAGATCACATACCAATAGGGATAGACTTACATGTGAAGAGTCGAAAGGTGGGATTGGACAACAGGATGTCGGATCAAGCTATCACATCTGAGAAGGCATTTTCAAGGGACATGATTGAACTGGACCACACTGGGATCAGATCGAACCAGTCTGGCATACGTGATCAGCGAGATTTAGTCAGTTTGGATACAGTCCAGTCCGGACCAAAACCTGGTCTGTCCAGACCGGAGTCGAGCTCAGAATGAGGTCATTTTTCATTAACAAACTGGTCCAGACCGACCAGATCTAGTCCGGACCAGTCCGACTCTCAGGGAGAGTTTCCTATTCTGACTTGATCAGGGGTTTGGAAGTCCTTTTAAGTTGAGAGAAACTGTCCAAACTCAAAAATACACACTAAAACTCGGAGACACACCCTAGAGACCAAGAGAAGCGTTATCCTTGTGAACTAGCTCTCAGAATTGGATCCCGAGTTTTTGAAATCTCAATTCTCTTCACAGATCCTAGCATATCAGTTCCAAAACATTTGGAATCATTTCCGTTGGTGTGAATACGCGTAGAGGAGCTGTGTTTTTCAACCCTAGATGATCTAATACAGGCTCTGGGTCGTTTTACTTCGAGGTTATATCGAATTCGAGATAAATATTCGATTACCACGGTGATATACGAGTTCTTCAGGTTTATATGTTGGTTTCTTTTGAGGTTTTATTTTTCTTTTCCCTTCGTGAAACGTAGAAACCAACCCTAAATCGATTTATGAACTCTTATCCTAATACAAAAAATTCAAAATCTAAACACACAAATTTCATAAAATTCTTACACTTTTATTAAACTTCATAAACCACACATATATACAAAAAAAGAATAGTCCTTTACAGTTAAAAAGTAATAACTACTACACTAACTCTAACATAATTGCATACATAACTGACACTTACAAATAAAACAGAATATTAAACCAATCAACTTCAATCTTCACTCCTTACACAGTACACTCATGTTTGACTTGAACCAATAGCCAACATTTTTTACATCAAAATTTTTCTTTATTTTTTTTATAAAATAGTTCTAAACTTTTATAGTTTACCGGATTCTTTTAAAATAAGTGATAACTTTGTTGAATCTTACTCGTTATATCTTGAAAATGAGTGTATAAAACCGTAATCACTTGATAACGAGGCATAATCATCTTGTGGAGATTGAATTGAACTGAAACAACAACTACATTTGAAACACTGCTTAGAAATCACCAGGTCTAAGAGTTGAAAAGCTTGATGTCAATCTTTCTTGCGGCACCTTTCATCTTCACATTTACATACATTGACTTTGACTTTGATGATGATGATGATGACCATGACGCTCGTTGACGACCATAAGGATGATGGTGACGATATGGATGATACTTCTTCATCCATGACTTAATCGGAGGCCATCCCACAATTCGATTATTTTCATCTTTCCTATATATATATATAAAAAAAATGTTATACATACAATTTGTGATTTTTAGAATTATGTAAACCCTTTGTAATATTTGAGTATACTCACTCATAAATGACGGAACAGCTGCGTTTCTCGAAATCATCTTCTTCCTCGTTTGGTTGGCGATCCCAAGAAACCAAACGCGGTTTCAGCACAGAACGCTCTCCATGCAAACTCCCAAACGCAGCGTCCAAACGCAACCGTTTCCCAGCGCCACCGCAACCGGATTTCTCTGCAGCCAAACAGGACTTAGTGGCACCGGAGCCAAACGTCGAGCAATGTTCGTCGAGGTCAAAGTCAAACACTTGTGAAGGAGTGTGTGGGAACGGAAGGGTGAGACAAAGCTCAAGCCCCATATCTCTACACAATTCTAATTATGCTTTTCCTTATGAGAAACAAAAAAAAAAGATGGAAACTTTTTTTTTCTTTGGTCGATTTGGATTGCTATGTGGATTTCGTAGACATCACGAGTATTTATAAGCGAAGGGTGCGACAGTCAAGGAGATTGGGTCTTTTTCATGTACATGCACCCTTATAAATGCAAAAATATTTTATATGAAATGCAAATGGAAAATGCCCAGATGGGTCTCAAATAATTTCTTTTTTGTTATAATTAAAGGTCCAATTTCATAAAACAATGAAAATAGTTTTATATATATTAGAATTAATATTTACTTTGGTGTATATATATATGAATTTGGCATGTCTTTGTGAGGAAAAAAAAGATGGAAACAAGGCTTATTTCACGAGAAAATAAAAAAAAAATAAAGGAAATGTGTATTTCATATGAAAAAATATTTAAAATAAATAATGGTAAATTATGAAGCATGGAGGGGAAGATCATGAAATGAGATGGAATTTTCCAAAGCGACAAGGTAAAAGTAGTGGTCGGGAGAAAACCCCGACATGGATGCGGACACTTCTCTTCAATGTTTCTCTAATGCATTCTTAGTTTACTCTGAGCTTCTTTTTCACATACAAATCAATAAAATAAATAAATTGCCATATTAATAAATTTTCATTCAATATGAATATGAATATGAATATGAATCCGAGATGAACCCGTGATTAGCGAAGAAAAATAAATATACTGTACTAATCATTTTATTGTAAAAATCAGAGCAAAATATTTTAAACGGATAAGTGATTGCTTGGCAAAATGTGTCAAAAAAGAATCTATATTTATAAAGTATTCCCTAAAAGGTTGGTATTTTGTAAATTATATATTTTTTTCTTCAAAATACCAATATTAACCTATTTTTTTTTATAATCCGGAAATTCACCGAACATTCGACTCAGTTACTTCGGATGAATATCCTTCCTAAATAAAGATTCGAACCTCGATTGAAAAGAAAAAAATAAAAGAAAAATAAAAAATTTATCTATAGAGAGAACTATATTTTAAAAAATAAATCTCTATATTTTTATTTTTAAAAAAGATAAACCCATAAAAATACTCGAACTTGAAGATTGGTGGAAAATAAATTCGTAAACTAGTAGACTGAAATATTAATTCCCGAACTTGAGAAACATAGAAATATAAATTCCGAACTTGAAAAATGGTGTCATAACAAATTTTGACCGCTGTTGATTAATTAAAGTGTCAGATATTATCCTATCTATCCAGTGATATGTCAGATTTTTTTTTCACATATGTAGAACCAAAAATATTAAATGAATTTTAATGAACTGACTAAGTCAGGTTTTATTTAACTCGACCAAATCAACTAAAAATCTAATGTTCATCATCTTCTTTGATTAAGGTTTTGAAACCCTAATCGTCGTCATCACTTTCTCAGACATTATAATTTGGATTGTCCAAATGGAAATAACATTTGTGTTATTCATTCTTTACAATTTAACTTTCAATCTTGCCATGAGAATATCACATGTGATAATCCTAAATTTTCTTTGAAATAGATTTTCTTTCCTGTAAGTCTCTCTATCCGAAAAAGAAATACAAACAATTTTCTCCTTTCTTCCATGGTTGTCTATCTTGATCTTTCTTTCCTTTGTCATTGTTGATATCATAACCACAACGACAACGGAAATGAGATAGAAAATAATGGTAATGATTAGGGTCTCAAAACCTTAACTGAAGAAGATGATGAACAATAGATTTTTAACTGATTTGGTCCGGCTAAATAAAATCCGATTTGGTCCGATTCATTAAACTCGTTTAATATTTTCAGTTCTGCATATGTGGCAAAAAATATGACGTATCATTAAATGTGTAGGATAATATCTTACATTTTAATTAGTCAATATCAATCAAAGTTTGTCATGACACCATTTCTTAAGTTCAAGATTTATATTTCCATATTTTTCAAGTTCAGTAATTATTATTTTAGCCCACTAGTTTAGAAATTTATTTTCTTCCAATTCTCAAGCTCGAGAATTTTTATGGGTTTATTATCCTTTTTTTTTTAAATCTCTCAAATTATTTTTAATTAATTATATTTTTAAAATATAAACTCATCTATAAGTTCATAAAATTCATAAGTGGTGCTCAAAACCGATGGTACAAAGCTCATACGTAAATATATAAAACTCATTTGAAAATGCACAAAACTCGTTTAAAAATACATTAAATTCACCCGATAGTGTACAAAAGTCATCTAAAAACGCATAAAACATGTGTGAGAGTGAACGCAATTCGTACGTGCGAATGTGTATATGCATATTTGAAACTGATGAAGGAAACATAGAAGTGAGTGAGTTGAAACTTCAAGCTGAAGGTTTCATAAACTGCAGTTGAGAAACAACATCACTTGAGTCTGTTGGCTTATAATAAACTTAAGAGTATTTTGGTAATCTTATGGCTAAATCAGATGAGGCTGTTACAAACCGAAAAAAGCATCGAATAATAGTGTTTTCATCATAATTATTTTCTTGTTCGATTACTCTCTACAAATTCCTGTAGCGTGATCTGAGAAACCTGTAATCTCTTGCCTCGTTTGATATCCCACAATCAATAAAATCATCCCAGACCTTTTGAATCTTTTGAGAGACTTAGGGTATGAATTTGGATTGCTATCATTGATTGAGATCGATTAGTTGGTTTGATGAATACAAAACTTAATGTTAAAAATCATCCCACGATCTAAGGAAGCATGACGTCTTGGTTTAGTGAATCATTCATTTAAATGGACTATATTGGATAAGGTCATTTAATATGCTTAGGTTTCTTTCTAGGCTACGAAAGTAGGTAGATTAAATTGAACCCAATTTTAGACTTTAAATCCCCATAATTAAGAAGAAGCATATCCATAATTTCATCATCTTTAGTTGCATTTTTTGCATACTTAGCAATTCTTGATACCCATAACGCTTCCATCATATAGATTTTGCCTCATTTTAATTTTTTTACATTTTTTATTGTTCTATTTTTATTCTCATACCTGAAAATCCAAAACCAACCAACCATCATCATTTGTTTCACTCTTTGCCTAGTTTTAGTCAATTCTTAACTACAAGCCTCTTAAGTTCATATGATTGACCTCGATACTACAACTTCCTATATATGCGGATACGTTGTGAATCAGATTATGAATTTAAAACTCGTCACACAAGTGATCAAATTGTCATTTCAACTCCTATTTCAGAAATTATCCATCTAAACCCAAAATTGGACGATAATTTACTTCTATGACTCTTGCAACACTTCAAAACATACATAGAAACGATAAAAAAGTTGTTCAATATGCAATTTTGCTTCATAATCTCATAACTTTGCAAAACTGTATCTTTTGATCTTCCATAACCAATGAAAAAGCCTCATGTCGTGCCTTAAAACATTTAGTAAGATGAACTTTCAACTTCCATTAAACACGTATTGCATATAAGGTACAACAAATGATGACATTGTATTCTAATTATATATAAGAACAACTTGACAATGTGTTTACATGATAATATGGAAGCAACTCCAATGTTGGTAGTTATGCTCAAATTGATGCACCTTGATCATCCATTTATTCATGGGTTTTTCTATGAAACAATATATTCTCCACCCACAACCTTTATGCAAACATATTGTTGCATACGTATCTTGTTCTCATCTTGACAATCTACCATTTAAATTGTTGTCTAAAATATACTAAAACGGCGTATTCTTGAACTCTTATCTCCATTTGAATTCTGTACCCAATAAAAATATCTCATCACCCTTCTTTACTATTCTTGAAGTATACATTTTCTTCTTAAGTGCTTAAATTCCTCTCATTCTTCATCTCTAGATATACGAGTTCCTGGACACATATTCTCATTATCCACATGTTCTTTATCACTTACATACTCTTCAGAGTTTCTCGTCATTTCAATCTTTCTAAATATTGCGTTAATAGTTTCTTCATCAAGCCTACTATATGCATCAACTTCAACATTTGCATCCTTATTAAGATCAACATCAACATCAACATCACTTACTTCTTCTACATCAATTTCAACATTAGCTCATACTTCAACCGAATATCGACATCAACTTTGTAATGACCCACTAACGTTATTGATGTTGAAACTACTTTCACATACCAACACGAGATCTTTTAACGTGTTTTACCCTCACTCACATACTTTTCTTCCCATAACACTATCTATCGTAAGACTAATCAAAAGCGAACACACTTAACTTTGGAGTTCTATCGAAATAGACAACTGAAAAGGTAGATGCATATTATTGGTATGAATAATTCAATTAATTCTTTTAAATTATCGTTGATTGTCGTGGTGTCTATCTCGAGAGAAGGTGGTGAACATGTGATATCTCAGGTACCGATGAGGGTGGAGAGTGATCGTTGTTACAAAGGGCAAAGACAAGGAGCAACTCGTAGCAGACTTTTAGGTAGAAATGGTACAGTGATGAATCAAACACACTAGAATGAAAGAGATTCGAGAGTTTTGTAGGTATAGGACTATACAGTCAATGATAATTCAAAGAATTGATTGAATTTCTCATAGCAATAAAATACATCTATTTTTTCAGTTTCTTATCTCAAGATAACTCCAAACTTAAGTATACTCGTTCTGGAGTGATATTAGGATAGGTGATCTCCTGATATGTATTTCTCGATAAATGTATGAGTGGAGACAAAGCACACCAAAAGATCTGGTGTTAGTTTCCAAGGACAGTTTCAACAACTATAATATTCATGGGGCATTACAAACATCACCTACATCTTCTTCACCATCATCCATGTATTAATTGATAAGTTTTAAACAAATGATGTATTTATTTATACTTTCTCTAAAATATTTCAACAATTATAACATCGTGTTCAAATATTTTTATACATTTTATTACAATTTGGATAAAATATACTATAAAGTTGGATATTGACGTAAGTATTCAAGACGTTAACCCTACAAAATATTTAATTTTTTAGATTTAGATAAAGATGATGACTCTTAATTTATCTACAACTAAAAA